AAAGAGGTGGTTGTACATGCATTATGAGCCATCTGGGGTTTCATGTATTCTTCAACAATGCTTGAGTAGACAAAGTTTCCCTTAGAAACAGGCAAAGCTCACCAAATACATCCCAAACTGGTTATAAGCCAAGTCACGGGGAAGACTCTGTTTCTGTTCCAAAGGCTGAAATTTAAGTCCAAATGGCTCTAATTTCTGCTTGCATAGCTTCACTGGCTGCCATGCAATTGGGTCATTCGTATCAGTGAAAGGGTATAAAATGCTTAAAACAATTAAACACAAGGTAAAAATGTTAAACTCAAGATGTTCCTCTTGCACAGGAAATTCCAGGAACTGGTGCCTTTCGAAAGAACATGCTTAAATCTAGAAAATGTGACCTTTGGGAGGTAACGCAAAATGCAGAACCTGACTTACCATAGAAATCAGTGTTTGTATACCAATAGCTTAGTTACCAAGAAGAATAACAATAAAAAGAACACGATAGTTTTCTGAGCTGTATTTCATAGATACCTTACTGTTCGGATTTGTCAGTATAAACAAATATTCGACTTATGACCACCTGTACTTTGAAAGCAGCTTTTTACCAGTATATACTGTTACAGATAACTGTTCCCAACAACAAAACAAAAACAATTATTTAGTAATCTGGGTACGCTGGACTCATCAGTTTTTCTCAGTTAGAAGAATCTTATATGGAACCTAGTAAAAATGTTGAGCGCACCGAGGCATGTGCTTGAATCATTAGAACAGACTTTTCTTGACAAAGTCTCTTACTGCTTCCATACTTTTTAATAGAAGCAATCTTTATATAAAAACTTTATGGATGATACGAAAGCCAACGAGACGTTCTCGTGGAAGCAATTAAAAGTATGGCGTTACCGGACATTTGTGTGCAAAGTTTAACACTTTACGATTTATGCTACACAGGTGTCTTGGCTTTTACTTGGTAAGCTGAAGTTCCCTGTTGGATTACTAACTGTTTCCAAAAGCTAAACTGCTTTGCTAATTCAAGTACGAAAGGCTCTTTATAGAAATTTGATCTTTAGAGTGTGTGAAATGTAAACCTTATTCACGTTTTAAACAGCTCGTTCTTCAGGTAATAAAGTTTATATAGGTGAAATTCTCTATTAAGGTTTGTAGCTAGGGCTGTAGGATTTTGTTTGTTGCCTACTTACTAATCACAGCTGGTAATACACTGTTAATTTTAAAATGACAAGATAAATCAACTCCTGGTGAAGAGGGGTTGCTTTAATTAGAAGTTCATTATGGTAGGCAAGCTCAGGCTGCTTCTTTTCCTACATCTAGACGAAGGACAAAAGACATGATTCCCGATTCTGTCACAAACGATCATTTTGGCCGTGGCAGTTTAACCTGGGGGTCAAAGCCTTACAACAGAATGTACTCCAGCTCTAGAGTAAGGAGAAGGAACAATTAACGCAAAGAAGCGATCAGTCCTGCTGTGTTGTCATAACATAACAGATAAGAGCTCCTGGTTGCGGAACTGTCCCGGTGCCTCACGTACCAGGTACCGAGGAGCTGCACAGGGACTGTTTTAGTCCACTTTAGGACCGTGCACTCAAAGAATGTTGGAGAGTGCCAAATTAAGCTAGAAACGCCACCGTCAAGGAATACGCAGTGTTCCTTTGCAAACTTGTGCAACAAGTAAATGCTTTGAATGTGTCATCCGTACTTCATTATCCTGATCTGAAATTCCACATCCCCTCCAGCCAGCCTTCCAAAATTTCATATTCTCCTTCAAATTCCGTGGGCTACAAAAGGCTTGAAACAAGATTCATTCCATAGCCTGCAGACAGAGCCACGCTGCTGAGCACAGATTTTACACGTTTCATATGCTGGCTCAGTTGTGTGCAGCCATCGCAAAGCCTTTTAACGCTGCCAGCTCCGCACAGCGTGCAGGAAGAGACCATCTGGAAAAATATCCCCTTCCATCTTGAGGCTCATGTGCCTCGCAATCCCTTGAGAGAGACAGGCTCAATATACTCTTATCTCCTGTGCAGCACACAAGCTGATGCACTGTTACGTAGAGAGCTGAGGAACTGTATGCGACCAGGGGAATCTATACGGCAGGATTTTCATTCTGACCCTCTGTAGTGAGATTACGTTTGTTGGGGATCACCGAGTTTGCGAACCGAAGCGTAGCCAGGCCCAGCCACACGTACGAGCACACCCTTCTGAACTGCCTCTTCCTGGGTCTGAAGACAGATCCTCAGCTGGCGGAGAGGCGGGTCTCTGCAGGAGCAGGCGTGGGTGGAATTCACGCCGTCGGAGCTCCGTTTCTTCATGGAGGTTTAGGACACTGAAACGCTTTTTGCTTTTCTGCAGCGTGGAGAAACTGCATTGCACATGGCGGCACGTGCCGGGCAGGTGGAAGTAGTTCGCTGCCTCCTGAGAAACGGGGCCCTGGTTGATGCCCGAGCCAGGGTAGGTGTTCTGCTTATAATTTTTTTTTTTTTTTGCTTTCACTTACTGAAAAACATAGCTGAAGCAGAGGAGCTAGGGAGGAGCAATTTCATTTGTATTTGATCTGTTGATTCAATATTAAGCACACCTAAAAACAGTGACGTATTTATGCGTAGATCTTCCAAAGAGAATGTGTGTGGTGGTGCGGTGGGCTGACCCAGCCGGCAGCTCAGCCCCGCTCAGTCATTCGCTTACTGCCCCTGAAGCAGGATGGGGGAGAGAACTGGAAGGGCGAAAGCCAGAAAATTTCTTGGGTTGAGATAAAGACAGTTTAATAGGTGAAGGAGCAAGGGGAAAAAAAAAAAAAGAGCCCACAAAACCAACCTGCCCCCATCAAGTGATGCAAAGGCAATCACTCGCCACCTCCCACAAGCAGACCGATACCTAGCCAGTCTCCGAGCAATGGCTCCTTTGGAAAAACTCACCCCCTAGCTTTATTGCTGAGCGTGACGTTATACGGTATGGATTCTCTCTTCGGTCAGTTCCGGCCAGCTCTCCTGGCTGTGTCCCCTCCCAGCCACTTGCCCACCCCCAGCCTACTCCCTGGGGGGGGCGGAGGGAGAAATGGAGAAAGCCTCGGCGCTGTGTGAGCACTCTTCAGCCGTAGCTAAAACACTGGTGTGTTATCAACGCTGTTTTGGTCAGAAATCTAAAACAGCACCATACAGGCTGTTGTGATGGAAATTGGCTCCATCCCGGCTAGACCCAGTACAACATGCCTGACTCAGATCAGCGATAGCTGTTCTATCCGAGCAAGGAGCTGCACAGCCACGTCCTAAAACCAAACATCAGAGGCTCTGAGAGCAGTCAGTGCCAGGTGTTGAAACCGAGGGGACTGCTTGTAAAGCTGCTGTAAGACAAATTAAGAACACAAAGGGGAGCAAGTGATGCCCACAGTGATGTGTGCTGTCTGCTTGATAAAAGGAAAAAACAATGCTTTTCTTCATAGTTCTCTCGGTTCTGATAAGACGTTGCTGAAGCTCATTGCAAAAATTAACCCGCGAGCCCTCCGTTACTGCCTTTTTTTGTACTATTACTTCCTATGATTTTTTGCAAGACACACGCATAGATAGATCGATTGGGATCAGCCAGAATGTTGTGTTCGGGGTGGTTCTACCTGCGCTAATTACCTACTCGATTTGAGTTGTAGGAAGAACAGACTCCACTGCACATTGCTTCTCGCTTGGGTAAAACGGAGATCGTCCAACTTCTGCTGCAGCACATGGCCCACCCTGATGCCGCAACAACTAATGGGTACACTCCACTGCACATCTCTGCCAGAGAGGGACAAGTTGACGTCGCGTCCGTTCTCCTAGAGGCAGGTGCCTCGCACTCCATGTCCACCAAAGTAAGACAAAATGCTTGACGTCTGTATTCCAGTAGCGCAGACAGCGCACACCCGTTCCACGAGGAACGTACTTTCACGCTGAGAACTTGAACTCATTTGGGTCTTTTGTTGTATTCTTACTTAATCAACAGCCATCTGATAGACTGAAGTGACGTATCAGAAGTTAGTCAGATTTTGACGTTTTCTGCTGTCATCTAAAGTTGGGAGTTTGGTTCCCACTGGAGCCAAATGCAGATCATGATAAATACACGGTCCCAACAGGTTTAAAATCTACACAAAGTCTTTTTTTCTCTCTTTCCCATTGTGTCATGGGTAGGGGCTTTTTGGCCAAAATTTTCAAAACAGAAAAGGGGATGACGGCGACGACACTGTTTTTATAAACAGGCCTGCTTATTCTTCAGTACCTTGTTTATTTGAAGAGTAAAACAATTCTGGTCTGCGCTAGCTGAAAGGAATGGTCCTCAAACATGCAAGTTAGCATCTGTCCAGCTGCATCTCATGCTGAATCTATTTTCCATGGTTCTGTAAATGAGGTGTCATATGACACAACAGGCCATTTTGTCTGGGTAATAGTCTGCAGAACCATTATTGCTTTGTTAGCCAAAAATGTTTACCAATAGATTCCAAACAGAGTGCTGAACACGTAAGAAAACAGATAGCTGAAACAGAGTAGAATTATGTGCCAAGATACCTTTTCCAAATTTATTGTGTGTGATTAAGTGAGAATCACTTAACTCTCTCTATTGTTTTAGGTCTTGAAAAAGTACCCTGATTTTATAGCTGGAGCTTAAAACATATTTTTGAACAACAGGGTGTCTTCTAGGGTTTAGAAGACTAAACCAGCAATTTTCAAATTATGATCCACGGATTACTGGGAATGCTTGCTGTTCTCCTTTTATCCAGCTGTTAAATCACATTAACGTGGCTAAAAATACACTAAATACTTTCCTAATTTCACATATTGCTTTATGGCAGTTGCTTTAGTGCTGCAGGAACATTCTAGAATTATGAACAGAAGAAGATGTAGTCCTCTAGATAATCTCTCTACAAACCTGTGATTCATGAACTGGAAATGTTCGAGATTCCCTGATGTAAACTCTTTTTGAGGTGGGATTAATGGAACAAGATGATAATGACGATAAACATTACACATCGCTTATGCGGCAGGCAAATAGGTCATTGTAGCGCCCTGGAATTACTGTCAGGGCAGCGGTGCAGTCTGCCACCTACCGTCTTGCGTCCATGAGTCTTCCTTATCAACATGCTTTTTTAAATGAAAAGAACAGGCAAAGAGCATGTTAGTTTGACATCGACCTTACGCCTGTGCTGTACTGACAAGCATTGTTAAAACAAATCGAAAAGGATTCTTTTTAGAAGACAAGGTTTTTAGTCTAGCCACAATGCGTTTCCAAAAGCACTGCTGTTGAGTCAGGCATGACTTTTTTTAGCTGCAGTTCAGAGGCTGCAGCAGAACTTGGTGACTGTATAGATACATGAGTCCAAATATAAATCATTCTTCAACAAACTCTAAAGGAGGAATAAGAAGTTTGGAGCTTTTCTCACTGAATTTAGTTGGCGTTTCATTGTTACTGGCAACAATTGATACAGGAAATATTTCTAAAGCTGTCATCATGAAACTAAAAAGTGCAGCTGGTTTGGAGTAGAAATTTGAACAAGTGCCTTTATTGCCCACACACACAGTGTATGTTGCTAGCAGAGTCTGTATCAGATAAAATGTCTGCCAGCCTGACAGCACGTACGTAGGGAAGAATAATAAAAGGGAAAGTATTGTCTTGTATTTCATGCTTCTCAAAGTGCTTTCAAGAGAAGATGCTCGTTCTAGGTACGGCTATTGACTCTGCCAGCTAGACTATAGGTTGAAGAAGACACAGTTCTTAAGAGAGCTGTCAGCATGACCTTTAATGCAAACATCTGCTTTTTATCTCCTGGAATTTTTCAGAAGGGATTCACACCTTTGCATGTGGCGGCCAAATACGGGAGCCTGGAAGTGGCAAAACTGCTGCTGCAGCGTCGTGCCTCTCCCGATTCAGCTGGCAAGGTACTGATGAGAAAGAAAAAAAAAAAAAAGTCAGAAGCATTTTGCATTCGTCCTTAGGAAAGAACTGCGTGAAACATGCACATGAAAGAAGGCTGCGGCTGCTTTCGCATGGTGGCTTTGGCTTCGTTAGGGTCACGTTCCCCCAAGGGTGATGGTTACGTGGAAACCACGCTACCGAGTGTGCCGGGTTTGGGTCCCCAAACTGCCCTGCGTGCAGCTCTGAGGGCAGATACATTTCTGTGGCTCAGGAAGCGCCGGTTCCATTAAGCTGCCCAAACTGTGAAGATCCTGATGGATAAATGCAGGGGCGAGGCCCGGTTTCCCCCTATGCTGTGGGAATCGCTTAGCGTGGGCTCTGGGGAGACAGAAACCAGGCAAGCAGCTGCAGATTCACCCTTCCCCACCGCTTTTCCATCACTAATGGCCGGCTGCCCGCGGCGGCCATGCCCTCCGCCCCTCACTCCCCCTCGCCCCGCATGGCCCCGGTCCCCTCACGCATTAACGGCTCGGTAACGCGGCCTCCTTCCCCTGCAACTGCAGCCTAACGCCATAACCACCCTTACAGAACGGCCTCACTCCCCTCCATGTGGCAGCCCATTACGACAACCAGAAGGTGGCCTTGCTGCTGCTGGAGAAGGGTGCTTCGCCCCACTCGACCGCCAAGGTGAGCTCCCACCGCCTGCCTGAGAGGAAGCCCTGCGGGGGGGGCGGCCCGGCTTCCCGCCTTTTCCGCCCCGGCTGCCGTGCTGGGCGGGCGGCGCCTCAGGGCAGCTGAGAGGGGTTGCGGTGTGGGGAAAGTCGGCTCGGTATAAAGAAATAAAATAATCCCCAGGGTGTTGGGCGGTCAGAGGCTGGAACAGGGTGCCCGCAGGGGTTGTGGGGGCCGTGGAGGTGGTCACAGTGTGGCTGACTGAGTCGCGTGAGGTTCATAGAGCGGGAAGCTGGGTGAGCCCCTACCTAAGTTAGTGTATGGCTCTCAGACCTCCACTGAAAAAGAAGAAATACATATGTATACATGTATGTGTCTCTCTCAGCCCATTTTTACGTTTGTGAGCTTTAGTCATAGCTGGAAGTCACTTTAGTGTTGTGTAATATTACAAACAACGTGTATATTCTGACCACGCATACGGAGAATTCACTCTGGGGTTAGGAACAGCGTCATGATATCACTGTGTTAGGCAAAGGCTACTAAAAGGGGGAAATAATGAGCGAATTGGTGCTGATGTCATAGAATTATACAATAGAATCATAGAATCCTTTAGGTTGGAAAAGACCTTTGAGATCAGCAAGTCCAACCGTTAACCTAGCACTGCCCAGCCTGCCACTAAACCATGTCCCTCAGCACCACATCTCCCCAGCTTTT